GTGCGGCTCACTCTGTGGCGCCGGGAGGCCGAGGAGTTCGCCGGCTGTACGGGACAAGTGATGGCCATTAAGAACGCGATTGTCGGCGACTTTAGGGGCCGGACGTTGAGCTGTGCGCCCAACGCGATCCTAGAGTTGGATCCGGACTTACCCGAGGCTCACATACTGAAGGGCTGGTACGAGAGGGAACTGGCGCTCGGAGGGGCCGGTCATCTCAAGTCCGTACAGCCGTTGAGCAAAGCGAGCGGCGACGTAGCGAACGGCGCCAATGAGTACCGCTTTTTGGCGCAAATCAACGAACAGTCGGTGCCTCAGGACGGACAGTCGCTGTACTACAACTGCAAGGGAACGGTAGTGGCGACGAACCGGGCGGACAGACACCTGTATAAGTCGTGCGGAAACAACGGCTGCTCTAAGAAAGTGCGCGAAGAGAACGGCTTCTACTACTGCGACAAATGCGGACATAATGGCCATCAGTTCCAGTGGCGACTCATGCTGTCGGTGCTCGTGAGCGACGCCACTGGCGACCAATGGGTCACCGCTTTCCATGAGGTGGCGGAGAAGCTGATCGGCCGACCCGTGGCTGAGCTGTCGGCGCTCTACGAGAGCAGCGTCGATGAGTATCAGGCGGTGGTGTCGGCGCTGCTCTTCAGGACGTTTCAGTTGAGGTGCGGCTCCAAAGTGGACGAGTATAACGGGGAAAGGCGTGTCAAGTCCACGTGTTTTTCGGCACAACCCTTGGATCCCATTCAGAGGGCGCGACAGTTGATGGCGTCGATCAACGAGTGGACCAATTGATGGCCACATCTCATGAATATTTATCTCCAGAAAAGTTTCGATATTTTGTTATAATATAGTCATTCGTTTTTATGTATTTAAGAGTCATATCGTATTCACTAATAGTGAACACAATTATATCATTCAATTAAACAGTTATTAATAATTAATTTCTCGCATAATATCCCAAAATGTAATTAAATATGAACTTTTGATTAAAAATAGAAATAATTTATTATTTTTAAATTTCATTCAAATATATTTCGTATATATGTTGTGTTCACTTGACTGTAGGATTGGGTATTGAAAGGCCACTCACAGAGTGCCATCTGTTGGCCAACCATTCCTCTTGAATCTACTGGTGATGCCATTGAGTGGTAGATATCAATGGCTCTGCATCTGATCCAATCGCGACGGGTATTATACCCCGGGTCTGGAGATATACGCGACTATAAGGACGGCACTAAAGTAGAGGCCAATCGCCAGTCATTACCACTCATACGCATAACTAATGAGATGATTGTCTTTCACCACACTTTTAGGTGACATTTCACTTCCGAACCGTCAAACTGGCCGCCGATGGCAGTGGCGGTGATGATGAGGACCAGTTGCAGGTGATCGACGACTCGAGAAAGTGTGGCAAACCTATGGAACTGATTATTGGAAAGAAGTTTAAACTGATTTTATGGGAGGAATGGCTGAAACACATGAGAGTCGGCGAAGTGTCGCGTCTGGTGGCCGACCAGCGCTTGTGTACTGACTATCCATTTGTGTCGAAATGTTACCGAAAGTTCTCGCATCAGAGCAACGCTTCCAACGGTTCCCATGACGAAGAGGAAGATAACATACCGTCGCGTCGCTGTTGCGGTAATTAATGGCTATTATGAACACATTTACCACCGATTACTCAATGAAGTTATCATTAATGATAGGAATGGCACTAAAGACCGGGTTAGGTCACCAGGATTTGGATGAACTCGTCACACATCCCTGTCCGCTGCAGTTCACTATCGAGTTATTATCAGTTGAGTCACCCGAAGAATACGACAAAGAGTTGTGGCAAATGTCTGAATCGGAACTATTGGAAGCCATACCTCGCTATCGGACGGAAGGGAACCGTCTCTACTCTGGCGGTCAGCACCGGGAGGCCGACCAGCTCTACAGCAAAGCCGTCGCTATTGTCGAACAATTACTGCTGAGGGAAAAGCCGGGCGACGAAGACTATCACCGCTTGG